CATATGATTAGAAAGTAATGAAAATCCCTAATCATATATATATATGATTGACTATAGTAGTCCCCCACAAAAATATAAAGTTTACGGATAATGATTTATATATTATTTGATTCAACACACTTCACAATATATTTATTAAAAAATTATTATTTTCAAATTTAAATTCAAAATAAGAAAAATTTTAATTGTAAAATTTAATAACTAAAATGATAAATATTAGTGAGTGTATTGAATCATTGAGTGTACCAATTATTTTCCAAAGTTAATGGATAATTTTGTTCATTATAAAGTTTCACAATAATTACATGTTATAAAATAAACAAATGCAATTTTTGTGCATCACCAAGTGAAGAGTCAACTTAATCATAATAACTATTATGTAGGTATGTAAAATTTTATTATGGGATAAGAATCATAAGATTGTATATATGAATCACTTCCCCGTCCACATATATCACCCATGAGATTAACTAGTGAAGATAGAAAAGTAAATAAATAAATTAGGCAATGCCATCACATTAACTTAACTTCAAATTTAGGCCTATACTCGAAAAGGTACAATTAGTTGGGAATGAACTACTTAAATGAAGAGGGAAGAACAAATTAAGGTTTATAGAAAATTTTGGTGGTGTAAATTAGATCTGCGCATAGTTTTGATTTAACATAGTAAAAGCTAAGATTCAACTGCTTACTTACCATAAGGTCCATAAGGAACACCTTTTTTTTCCCTTCTTTGGGATAGAGAAATACATAAATGTTTATATAAGCACAATTAGCAATTTATATTTTATCTCTTGAATTGAATTACAATATGAAAATTTCCAAATTAAAAATTTATATACTTTTTGATTCAATACATTATATAATATCCTCGGCAAACTCTAACAAATGAAAAGGTGAAATTAAGAAAATCCCTAATATGTAATTAGAATATCAACATTTTGAGATCTTTTATTAATTTGTTATTTAATTGAAAAATAATTTATACATACTCAATTCAATATATTTTTTTTTATACTTGTTTAATTTAATAATTAAAAATATAATATAAATATTATTATATTTCATATACATGATTGTATTTTTTTAATTATTTTTAATTTTAAACTATTATTGTTTAAAATAATATATTATATATTCAACTAAATTGTGTGTCTATCAATATCTTTAAAAAAAAAAAAAACACACAATGATAAAACTCAAATCTTACCCCTCTTACCTTTATCAAGGCATGGGTGACCACTGGGCCACCGAAGAACTTCTCCTATCAATGTCCTATTTAATTTACGTCCTAGTTTGGTTCAACATCATTAATTACTAGAAGTCAAATCTCAAAAGGCCCACATGAAGTTACATAAACTGACTAACAATATTGAATAGGACTTCCGGTCCTCTCTAAACCTCGTCTATGCCAATTTTTAGAACTCATCACACCGGCATATGCAATATATTGATGCCTATCGCTATCTTATTGTTATTAGATTCTACTATGCCACTTTTGATCAAGTGAAATAATGGTTAGAGAAAGTCCCAATGGCCTAAGTAGCTACCTAATATATTGTTAAGGACATTCTCACTTTATGGTATGGTTTAGAATCCCACCCCTTTAATTCCGTTCTCCCCAATTGCCCATGCTCAAAAAATAAAAATGTGAAATAAAGGTTATGGTCTAAATATCAAGTAAAATGATTGGCATAGGTTTTGTTTTCAATTTTTTTTAATATATTTTTAATTTAGTTATTAAAATATTTATTTTTATATATTATATGTATAATTATATTTTTAAATTTATTTATTTTTAATTTTAAATAAATAATAATAACTTTTAATAAATATATTATATAGTATTAAATTAAAAAATATAACAATCAAAATCTAAATATCAATTATATATTGGTGCATAAACAGTAATAATAAATATTTTAAGTATCAGGTTTGTCAAGATTAATCCTTTAAAGATTAAAATTTCATTTTAATCCCTCTATTTTAATAAAAAAAATTTAGTCACTCTACTTTAAAAAATTCCTTTTTAATTTTTAAATTTTAAAATTCAGCCCTTTTTTTAGTTCCTCCAGCACTTTTTATACATATGATACATTTGATGACAAAAATTTTAAAGTAAATAAACTAAAAAAGGATTTAAAAAGCTCTTTTTTATCCCTCTACTTAAAAAAAAAACTTTTTTTTAGTTAATTTACTTAAAAAAAGACCTTTTTTCAGTCCATTTGCTTTGAAAATTTTATTATTTAACATAATATTTATGTAAAAAAATAACAAAAGGATAAAAAAAGAATTAAATTTTAAAATTTAAAAATCAAAAAAAGATTTTTTTAAGTAAAGACTAAAAAGAAACTTTTT